TCCAGGCTCTGCGTGGATCCTGAGGCCCTGTCAGCTCTTTCGGGTTTTGCAAACATCCTCTGCTAACATGGCTTTTCTTTTAATGTTGCTTTGCTCATTGTTTGTGCAAAATCTAAGATCAAGTGATTTACACTCGGTGAGTACATCTTACAACATTTATGGCTCTTTGGATGTAGCCTATGGATTTAACTGTTCAGCCTTTGTGCATTCCCCTCAAATGCCGAAAGAGTTGGCAAAGGACTTAAATTTAGCCTGGTTTCTACCCAGAGATATTCATCAGCTTCAAAATCTCTTGATTTTAAATGACTATTTTGCATTTGATGACAGACATTTCTGGGACTTTCATTTTAAAAACTCTACAGATCTGTTGTATACTGATGGTAAACAGAGATGGTTAATATTCTTATTGCTGCTTTTGTCTGGCAACGTTCAGCCAAATCCAGGTCCTGAGTTGCAGTGTATTTCATTGCCATCTGATGTGAAATCCATGTCTGGTTTGAGTGTAATTCACCTAAATGTTCGCAGTTTGTTACCCAAAATGGATCTGCTTAGAATTTGGGTGAATTTAACAGATGCAGATATTGTTGTGCTGTCTGAAACCTGGCTGACAAAATCAATTACTGATTCGGACATCGGATTAAATGGTTATAATGTGTTTCGTACTGACAGATTAAGGAAGGGTGGTGGGGTTGCTATTTATGCTAAATCTAAATTTAATATGAAGTTAGTCCATTCAGAATCAGTTGGTAAGCAGCTGGAATTTTTGGCAGTGAGGGTGGAGTTGGCCAAGGGCCTTTATGTTACTGTTGTCGGGTGTTATAGGCCTCCTTCTGCCCTCAGTACTGCATTGCAGACACTTATTCAACTCTTATCCAGATTGGACTACTCTGAAATTATTTTAGCAGGTGACCTAAACTGGGACTGGCTAAAACCTTGCTCAGATGAATTTAAGTCATTTTGTGATTCTGTCAATTTTACACAATTAATCAACTCTCCCACTCGTTTAAATCTTAAGTGCCATGAGAAATCCACATTAATTGATTTAATTTTGACTAATGTCCCGCACAAATTTTCTGCTGTTGGTGTTTTTTGCAATGACCTAAGTGACCACTGTGTTATCACTGCTGTAAGGAATACTAAGTTGCCTAAAGGTAAACCTCGTGTAATATGTAAGAGAAATCTTAAAAATTTTAATGAACAGGGCTTTTGCCATGATTTGTTTAATTGTGATTGGAGTAGAATGGAGCTGATTCCCGATGTGGAGTCAGCCTGGATCTTTTTCCGGGATAGTTTTCTGCAAGTAATAAATAAACACGCCCCACTAAAGAGATTTAGAGTTAAGGGGCGGGATAATCCCTGGTTTTCCTCTGAGCTTGGAGATATTCTTCATGACCGCAATTTAGCTTGGGCCAAAGCAAGAAAAACGGGCTCTTCGTCTGATTGGCTTGCTTTTAGACGGCTAAGAAACAAATGTTCTTCTATTAAGAAAGCAAAATCTGATTTTTATCTGTCAGTCACTACTAATAACTTAAATGACCCCAGAAAATTCTGGAAGGCTATAAAATTACTTTCTTCTAACAAAGATAGTATCAATGTTCCTTCTTCTATTATGAAAGAGTCTGTAGTAGTTTATGACAAGCTAGAGATACTGAATCATTTTAATGAGCATTTTATTCAGTCAGGTTCTTTGTTTGACACTGTTTGTCCTTATGCTGTGACACCCTGTGGAGATGTGCCAGTCACTACGGGTGTTTTTAATCTCGTTCCATTTTCAGTGGCTGACGTTCAAAAAGCCCTAAAAGGACTGGTTCCTGAAAAACCCCCAGGACCTGATCTTATAGAACCCTATTTCTTAAAAATAGCTGCTGATTGTGTAGCACAGCCTCTAACGTACCTTTTTAACCTTACTTTAAAGAGCAACACTATTCCTAAAATCTGGAAATCTGCATTTGTTTGTCCATTACTGAAAGGGGGTGACCCGTCAAATTTAAATAATTATAGACCAATTTCTAATTTGTCTGTTTTGGCCAAAATGCTTGAATCCCTGGTGAGTGATCAGATGAAAGACTTCTTGCACGCCCAGGACATTTTATCCCCAGTTCAGTCAGGTTTTAGAAAAAAACATAGTACCATCACAGCTGCAATGAAGGTGATAAATGATATCTCTGTTGCTCGTGACAAGAAGCAGCACTGTGCATCACTTTTTATTGATTTGTCAAAAGCGTTTGACACGGTTGATCATGATGTTCTAAAGATTAGGCTTCTTAAATCAGGGTTTTCAAAGAAAACTGTCTCTTGGTTTTCAAACTATCTTAGTGACAGAACTCAGTGCATTAAGCATGATGGTGTTCAATCTGGTATTTTACCAATCTTTAAAGGGGTTCCACAAGGCTCTGTATTAGGCCCTCTTTTATTTACTATTTATATAAATGATCTTAATCGGCATGTGTCTGATGCAAATTTTCATTTTTATGCAGATGATACAGTTATTTACTGCTGTGCACCTTCTCTTAAACAAGCCATTGCACACTTACAGAATGCTTTTAATGTGGTCCAAAATACTTTGCTACAATTGAAACTTGTGCTCAATGCAGAAAAAACTAAATGTATGCTTTTCACAGACCTTCGGAACAGGTCACTGAATGTTCCTTCAGTGGTTACTCTTGATGGTCGTGAAATACAGATAGTTTCAACTTATAAGTATCTTGGTATTGTCATTGATGACAACCTATCATTTAAGCCTCATGTTCACTGTCTAGTGAGAAAGTTGAGACTAAAATTGGGTTTTTACTTTCGAAATAAGCTGTGCTTTTCTTTTAATGTAAAAAAACGGTTGGTGGCATCCACTTTTTTAACTGTGCTGGACTATGGTGATATATTATATATGCATTCATCTGCTCAATGCCTGCAGATGATAGACGCAGCCTATCACGCATCATTGAGATTTATTACTAATTGTAAAGCTCGCACCCATCACTGTGAGCTGTATTCTCGTGTAGGGTGGTCTGCCTTGGCTACACGGAGGCTTTGTCATTGGTATATATTTATATATAAGGCTATTCTTGGTGCGCTTCCATCTTATTTATGTTCACTTCTTATGAAAAAAAGTACTGGTCATTACTCTCTCCGTTCTCAGGCTGTTGTCTTGTTTTCTGTCCCACGTGTCAGTACTGAGCTGGGTAAAAAGGCCTTTGCTTACTCTGCTCCCTTTACATGGAATTTGCTGCAAAATAACATGAAACTTAGTAAATTGGTTCCTTTGAATACTTTTAAGTTGAGAATTAGATGTTTTGAGTTAGACTCCCTCACATGTCAATGTTTTAACAGAAATTTTATTGTAAGTGCATATTTGGCTTTTATGTGTGTGTCTTTTATACATATGTAATGATGTGATGTAATTTTGATGCCTATCTTGGCCAGGTCTCCCTTGCAAAAGAGATTTTTAATCTCAATGGGTATTACCTGGTTAAATAAAGGATAAATAAAAAAATAAAAAATAAAAAAATATTAGCTGATGACTCTTTACAAAAAATGCTAAAGTCATCAATGCTGTCAATTACGGTCAATTAAAAAATGGTTGAAGCAACCCAGAACGAGCAGCTAACAATGTTAATGATTGTGAATGAACAGTGTTGCCAGTGATCATTGTTTTTAAATCAAAAACCTAATAATAATTTAAAAAAGTCGTTTTTTATTATTGTTTTTTGACCACGTCCGTGTTAAATGACAAGTTTATTTGCTTTGCTTAACACTTTTTTTTCTGGGAGCCAAAAAAGTGTAAAGTCCAACTTAATTATGGGGCAGTTCTCATATCTTGCTTTTTATGGGTGTTGTTAGGTTCACTAATGCTAAATACCAAACAAAATCCCATTCACAAAACAAATCTAATATTTTGCGATCCTCAAAGATAAAGGCTAAATTAACCATTTTAATTAAAGATGTGCAAATAGACTGACTTAGAACAACCATTTGCACTTAAACACTGACAATAGGTATCAAAATATGTGTTCACACAGAAAACATTACATAGTAAATGGCCTATACTTGCATGGTGCCTTAAAAATTCTAACGACCCCAAAGCTCTTAATACTACATTCAGCCTTTTTCCCACATATTGATGGTGGCAAGCTAAATTGTAGTCACAGGTGCCCTGAGGGCAGACTTAAAGAAGTGGGGCTGCCATACAGAGGCACCAGCAGACCCTCTGACCACTATACAGTAAGAATCCAACGTGGGTAAGTGTCTTGCCCAAAGATACAACAGCTGAGACAGACCAGAGTTCAATTTGATTAATCTCCCTACTAATGTCTACATCCTACGTCAGTATTGTAACGGAACTGGGGGAAAAAATGTTCAGATATGTGACAGTTTATTGTACAGATTATTTTTGGCAATTTTCTCCCAAAGTACAGACAATTGATTTTTTTTATTTTTTATTTTTTGCCCAGTAACTATATTAGTCTATTGTTGATTGATGTCACAAATATAAATGACCAGCAGCAAAACGACTAAAAAGAGATGGCTGCAGCATGTTTAGTGATATGAAAGGATCCCATGAAATTACATAAATCCAATTAGGCAACAATAAAAGCTTTGAAATAGTTATCGACTCGAGTTACTGCTATGTATGAGAAACAGTTGTTTATTTTTAAACAAGAGATGCAATAAAACCAGGGATTTGGAGCTTAGTTTATCCTTTATTCATTTATAATTTTCACTCCATGACAACTTTATTAAATTTGAATGTTAAAGACTAAGCATGTAGAAATGAAAGATAACCCATAATGACACCTGCTATGGTAAAATAGGCTTGTATTTTCCCTGTTTTTTCATTCAGGGCCACCAATGCATTAATCCATGTTCTATGCGTTTCTTTTTCCAATCAAAGACTTTATTACTTAGTATTTAGAAAAACCTCTAAACAATACAGTCAAAAATTGTCTACTTTCTGCTCAGTCGGAGTGGATGTTTGTACTTATGTCTGTGGAGATTCAACTCACCCACAGCCTTGAGCGAGGTGTACTTATTGAAACCAATTCCCAGGTTGTTGTGAGGGTGAGACAAGGCCATGGCCGGTCCCAGGGGGGATAAAGCTGCATTGTTCAGGTGATTGTGATCTAAGAGAGAGAGAAAGAGAGAATATAGTGAGACATGTTATCAAAAGGTAGTAAGAGCTTAAGGAAAGGTAAAGAAAGAAACTAGTACATCATGACCTCAAAACACAGCTGAATATTTTCACTGAAAAGTATCATGGAATCTGGAGGGATCTGTGATGCTACCCTTTAACTTTTACTCAGTTGTTATAAATTGTAGCCATTGCAACAGGACAGTTGTTAAGACAACTGAAAAGTTGATCTCAATAGCTCATATACATGTACACTTTAACCTGCTGTGTCTCATGAAATCCAGGGAAGACATAACGATGCAAGGAGTAGGAAGTTTAAAAGATCTGTGAAATCTATTACAATCTAAAATGTTTGATCTTAGAGAAAAAAAAATATGAATATTAGGATCTAATATTAACACATGCATAGTGTTTGCAATGTAGTATTATGGGTTTAAATGAGAAGGTTACACATGTTTGCACAGCTTTCTCTCTAGATAAAGCAAATAGAGACTTGAAGAGGGCTGCAAAACCAAAGGAAGTGGATTAGCAGAGTTGGCTAAGAACAGATGGTTTAATTCAGGATATGCTACTTAAAAACAGCCATATATTAAACTGATAACTAACTTTATCAAAGGTACAGTGAAGGATTTTCAGGAAATTTTGAAAAGACCCGCCCTCTCCACTAATTTTTAAAAATGCACATGCACAACTCTGTAACTGCTCCCGAGAGGGAACCCCTATTAAACGCCCATTTCTCCTCGTGCATGCTCTGTTTAAAATGTGCTGTTTGAATCGCTAATGCAAGCTTACTATCCAATAGAAGATTTGCAATTTTTCCACAGACTCAAGGACCACTTATTTAGATGATCCACCTGGTAAAAGAACATCCTCCACTATTCCTTTAACTGAGGGAATTCCCAGGTGTTCAGCAGTATACATTCTACAGTCAATTGCTGTCACATTTACATGTGATACAATCCGTTAACTGCTTCTATGCACAGTACCTAAACCTCAATTCATTTTTTTAAATATCTAAGGATGATCACACCTTTCTTTTAGAGTTCCAGTGGGTCTGCAGTTTGTTAACTTCTTCACCACTGGAAGGGAATGCTTTCTATAGAGCTGCTCTTGAAAATCAAATCAACATCTTATCTTTCTCCTCTCAGTGTACGAAAGAGGTATAAGAGAGGTGTATTTAGAGGTGACCTCTGATAGGAAAAAAAAAAAACTGTCTGGACAAGCAACTCGAGTATGGCTGGGCAATATTTTGAGTCTACAGGAGTATGCACTCTGCAGGCCACTGAGTAGAATAAATGCCTGAATGACTTTATGAAACATACAAGAGTTTCCCCAATACCTAAGCCTGGATCCCTATTGAAGAGATATCTGCTTGACAAGAGAAAATGTCTTCAGGAAGTTCTCTACTTTATGAAGCTGTTATATTTTTTTTATTATTTGTTGGCTCTGTTTCTTAACAGCACAAAGACCTTTATAGATGAAGTCTGCATGTTACCTCTGGCCTATGTGGGATCTCTTTGGGTGTGTGATGGTCACATGGTCAGTAAGCCCACACAACACCATTTTTTCATAAGTTTTTTAAAATCACAGTAGCATAAGTATATTGGTTTGTTTTTGACAATTTTAAAGACATTAGTTCCAATTGTAGCGCGCACATTTGGTTAACTTTTGTTTATTTAATTTTGTCAAATGCTTAATATATTTTCTGCTTTCTTTTCTGGTGCTGTGGGAGTGCAATCAACTGGGGGAATGTGGCTGACATCATGGACTGATTGGGTGGTACCATCTAGAGTTCCACTATGGGGGAAGACCATGGACTCCACATTTTAAAATATGTTGCATAATTTCTTCTTCTTACTTTTGTGATTTGCCCATTTTGTTAATTTGTATATTGATTGTTATTTAAGTTTAATACTTAAGCTAACTGTTTAATTATTTTTTTGTTAATTTGTTGTAGATGTTCTCCCTACCTCTTCCTCAGTGTGTCAGTCTGGTCTGATCAGCCAGTATTTAAGTCCCCTTTGTTTGCTGTGTGTCAGGTCAGTTTTTTGTTCGTTTAATTAGTTTGAGGTTTCATATGTTTGAACTTAAAACTTTTTGCCCTTAGTTAATTTCTTAATTTGACCTCTTTTAAGGGCCCTGGAATTTTTGTTTGGATTATTGTTACTTTGGGGAAATAAAACCTAGTTTTTTTGACAATCACCACTGTGTCCTCATGCTTGGCTGGGTCGGTCCCTCACAGGGTGCCCTGGCTTCTTCACCCCATTCATTTGCCTCTCTAAACTGCTGTTTTTACTGTATTCAACTCAAAACTAAAACCTGTGGTGTTGATATATATCGATATATATGTGGCAGAGGAATAGAAAAGCAAAATAACCCAAGTACCTTTTTTGTCCTTCTAAACTAGCAGTCTTTAGGCAAGAAAAAGCAAAACATATTTCAAATATTTTTCTCCACAAGTGAGGAAATTAGAAGTAGTATTTATTGCAGAAGGCAACTTAAAGCCACATAGATGCAGAAGAAAAGAAATAAAAAGTTTTTTTTTTTATCTTTAACCTTAAATGACCCTTAAAGCCTCTGAATGAATTGGTTAACTGCCCTCCTGAGTGTCATCTCCACAGGTAACAAATGTAATAAAACTGTCGTGAGCTGGGCATGAAGTTGCAGACTCATAGTGCACATGCAAAAACAAGCATTCATAACTCGACACCCGCATCCATCAGACCTACAATAACTGCAACGCATCGGTGGAGAAGCAAGCGAGTTGGGAAATGGGACGAAGAGGCTGGGAGAAAGCCAGAGAGCGAGGAATGTGACACCAGTGCTGACTGATTGAATTAGAAATAGATCTTCACTTCCCCGTGTAATTGATATGCAGCGGTGACCGCTGTGTGTGGGGCGGCGTGCAGGGGAGCCCTGGCTTTGTGATGTAATTTTATCTGTGTATAGAATATGAGATGGTTTATATATTTTTTTTGGATAAGCACCTGCTCACTTCAGTCAAACTGAAATTTGAACTTCATCTGATTTAACTACAAGGCACAAGAAAAAAAAAGTATGACATTGGTGGTCTTGTAGTGATTACATAATGCAAAGTAATAGTATTCTTAGGCATCCTATACCAAGTTTTCAAACTATAGTGCCAACAGTAAAAGTAATTAAATGAACAGAGGGGTAGAAAGACAGAGGAAAGTGAAAGCCCAGATAGAGAGAGAGAAAAAACACCAGCTAATTGACGGAAAGGTCCTTGGCCGGTTTCCAGTTTGACCAGAGGGCTGTTCCCAGCCACCAGAGAGGGAGAGTGAAAGAGCGAGTTTGTTTATTGCAGCTTATATGTTGTAATGCGCAGACCAGCCTTATCTTTCTACTAAATGGGATTTACAGACAACCCATTCAGCAGTGAAATACATAACAAACGAAAGCATCAAAGTGAACAGCATGTATGGAATTTGCTGAATCAATGTTTTTTCTATTTCAAATGATGAGTGTTCTTCTAACTGGTTCTAGTAGAAATTAGACTCAGGATGATACAGTTATCACAGTTTGTAGGACTTTTGAAAGTCAGTTTTCAGACTAAAACTACTCCTTGATCATGTTAAGTTTGTTTAAAGAAATAACAGAGTTTTAAATATAAACATTATTTTCATCTTTGGCAGTGGACTGCTCTTCTTATATTTACATAACATCCAGTTTTGGATATCTTAAATTCACCATTTAAAAAAATCAAAATCAAATTTGGCAAGCTATGTACTTATTGGTAAACCATTTAAAAGGAAAGAAACAAGATCACATTATACAATATTGTTTGTTGTTTATGATATATGTAGTTTAAGGTTAAAATAGTAAAATCATTTTATTGTGGTACATGACTAGTTGAGATTAAGCAGGTCTGTATTCTCAGAAAAACACAAAAAGGCCCTTTGCCAACCCCTTTGGCCACCACCACTCAGTAATTATTTATTTCCCCATGTGGACGTAGTTCACCACCTCTAAACCAGAGGGTATCAGCAGATTTGTTCTCATGTCCAAATTAATTTGACATTTTAATTGTTAGTATGTTAAGTGTAAACTGACAACAAAGATACAGTAATTAACTAAAAATGCTAAACACTGAATTTTTGCTCTTTTAAGAACAATTTCTTGTGTTTTATGGGGGAGAAAGGAAAATTATGTGTAAGTCTCTGATTTTTTTTAGATGTCATAAATGTTTAAATATGGGTTTAAATTTATTAGCAAGGGCTTTACAGTATGTGAGAGTCTGTTTTTCTTGATTTATTTAGAAAATACAGATGACTTGCTTATTCATTTTCTTTCTGATAGAGTGTGATTAGTGTAGGCGACCAAGGACTGTTTTTTTTCTGGTTACCATAGAGTTTACTGTCCCTGTCATAGCAGGCACGGATTGGGAACGGTTTTTCGGCCCTGGTTTTTCCATCTACACCGGCTAATTTATGGACCCCCCCCCAAAAAAAAAAAAAAAAAAAAATTGAAGCACAGTCAAAGTTGTACGTCTGAAATTTGAAACAAAATACGAATACACGTTGTGGATTAACCGATCTATCTTCAAGCATCACACGACAACCATCACCAAGACTTCTATAATGCGGTTTTACTGGCTTTGGTTATTAACATGGAGGTAATAAAAAAAAACAGTGGCTGCTGCTGCGTAACGTCCACACTTGCACAAAGCCAGACAGACACGCACACACACATACTAGATCTACAACGTAAGCCAGAGTGTTGTAAAAACACCAGCATAAAACAATACACTATAGGCAGACAGGTAGTTCTTCAAGAATGAATACATGAAAGCTCAGCGGTTTGTACGCATTCACTGCGAGTCTAGGTGGCATGTAGGCAATGAAATGGAATAATGTAATACATACATATTTTTGCAAAATATTCAAACATAAATTCGCCATATATAAGAGGAAGATCGTAGTTTGGTTTAAAGAAAGCATTGCAGTTTTATTATAATTTAGTTTGTTGCAA